ATAAATCTAACTGAACAATGAAAATACAACCAGTAAGAAAAGAAGACGCAATTTCTGCCTGGTTCTAAGTAAGTAAAAGACCCCACGGGCCGTTTGGACCCTGTGGGCGAAAGGAAGTAGGAACCAGTAAGGGCTACATCGGTACTGGACCGGTGATCCTAAAAAGGCGAAGCCACTGGACAGCCTTGCCAATGGTTGAGTTGGTTGCTGTTGGTACCCGTTATCGTCCGGTTCGCCTTACATAAAGAGTTTGCATAAGAAATGGGTTTTAACATCGAAAAATAAGGTCCGAAAGACAAAAAAAAAAAACAAACTTTGAGCCATCTTTCGACATTTTCATATGTAACATGTTTAGCGATATCATACACTAGCAGTGCACCAACGGCACCTCTGTAGTAAGCAGAAGTTATTGCTCGATATCTTTCCTGCCCTGCTGTATCCCAAATTTGAGCTTTTACTGTTTTCCCCTCAACCTGAAATTTGAAAATGCAAAGTTTCATTCTTTCATAATAAACAGGCAAAATTCTTTTCACATTAATTTTAAGCGAAAAATGAGTATAATTGTCTGTGGAGGTGTCGCTTATGCCATGAATAGAACCTTTCCTTCCCCTCCGCTCGAGGGGACAACCACCGACACCTTTACCTCAATAAATGATTGCTAATGGCCCAATGCTTTCAATTGGACCAAATTTCGAGTGATATGCCTCAACTAAATTGTAAAATTTGAAAGATTTAAGCATATTCAGTCCCTTAGTGAAACCAGAATCTCAGCCGTAGGCCAAAAAAAGGCCGTAGTGATCACAAATGTCGTCCCCCCAAACATCGAGATCCCAGGATTAACAGGGTTTTAAACCAAAATAATAACGTCAAAACCATTCACCACAGAAAAAAAAATGCGGGAAATCAAGTTTTTGAATTCTTTCAACTTTCTAATATTTTTCTGTTAAATGCCACAAGTCAGAGTAATACAGAATTCATCCAGAAAGCTAAAGAATTTGCGATGTAAAAAAAAAAAAATTTTGAAAACCTGTATACTCCTTGTTGCAAACTCTACTCCGATTGTTGATTTCGATTCCAGATTGAACTCGTTCCTCGTAAACCGCGACAGTAAATTGGATTTGCCAACTCCCGAATCACCAATTAATACCACTGTAACAGTATTAATATCACAAACACGAATCATCAAATGAAAAACCGCAACAACTCCTCTTCCTTCCCTCATTTCACTCCCGATAAGTGAGTCTGATTCAGATCAGATGTCATGCCTGTAGCTCAAGATTGTAAGGGATAAAGTATCAGGCAGTACAGGCCTCAAAGGCCCCTTCGAGGGAATGGAAGAGGGTAGTAACCAGGGGCAGGAGCAACGGCCCATTCAGCACAGGGTATCGATCGGCAAGGGTCGCACCAACCCTACATGCAATAGGAATAACCAAAGGTAGGACGGTGGCCGCCCAGAACACTGATCAGTACCAGTCACGTAAACACCCATGCATCATTTGAAGCTCCTCAAATCGAATTATAACAAAGAACCAGGGCAAAAATCACTGTTTTGCTTCAGAAACGAAAAAAAAAGGGCAACAAGTGTCAATAAATTCGACAGTTGCCATTAGTGCCCCTCGTCTTATAAAAATTCGTAGCACAGTATTCAGCTCAATACTATCGAATGCTCTTTCGTAATCGAAAAAAGAGAGAAGATAAAATTAATATTCCTTTTCTGAGAGAGTTCTCATAAATTTTAAGAGGCACTTTTAAATTTCAAAAATGCCCCATAAATCGAATCATGAGAATTCAAACACCAAACATCCTCATTTTTTACGCTGCGCATAAAATTTAAAAATGCAAAAAAACTTCCAGACCACTGCATGAATCTTCATAAATTGAGTGGTACTCAAGAAAATGAAAACGATTATTTGGACGACTCCCGAAGAATTGGCGCATATAAGTCGAACAGGCGGTGGATACTAATCGGAGGTATGTAACTCAGACTTCTGATATTATCACAATAATTTCATTAACATCGGATCCTCACAACGACTGTCCAGAAGGTCTAGGAAATCATGATAATGTAAAATCATGATAATGAGAAATCCATGGGTCTGATAATCATGATAAAATGCAAACCTTTGAACAAGTAGTCATATTCATCATCACGTGAACCCATTGTTCTGCACTGAGATGCTCTGCAAAAATCAAGCGCTGAATATCTGAAGAACGTACATTTTAACGAGAACGATATTATCGCGACGCGTAACAACGCACATTTAACATGTAAAACAAACAAGAAAAAATAACACAGAAAAATTATTCGCATTTTTTCCACGATTATATCAAGTTATCTGGAAAACTGGCGTAGCCGGCTACTTTCCTGGGATTTTTTCCGCCAAAACTTTCATGTGCCCGAACATGAGACTCACATAAAAGTGAGGGTGAAATTCAAATTTGCGAGGTCATACATATGGGCAGGAAATATTCTCCTAAAATTTCAGCTTTCTAGCTTTTCTGGTTGCCGAGCTAAAAACCCCGGAGAACATAAACATAAACATAAACATACACACACACACACACACACACACACCCATATACACGCAGTCACTTTTTCCGTTACTGAGCTAAACACATATACACGCATCCGCACATATACACGCATCCGAACACAAAAATACAAACACA